GAACCCCCATTTGAGTGAGTATTGTATGTTTTGGATTTTTGTAGCGGGGGATCCTCTCCCAACCCCATTTTTGTACCCAAATTTTGTGATTAATACGTACGGAGCCGAATAATGCTCCTTTTCCCAAAAAAATTAAAAATAAAGAGCTAAAATTTCTAAAGTAAATTTATTTCAAAAGTAGGAATAATTTATTTAAAAGTGGGGCCTACAACTGGTTTGTCTCATTGTCACTTTCTCAGCAGGTATAAGTTCCATTTATATGAATTCGATATGAATATGATCATAGGGAACTAGATATTTCTCTCTTAAATTTATGGCTACCAAGATTTATTGGACGACACAGCACATAAGTTGCTAGCAACAAATCTCTGGTCGGGTTGTGTCCACTACTCTCACGACCAGGTGGACTTAGAGTCCTAATAGCTTGGGATGATAAACCCATAGAATCTTGACCCATTATTTCTACCTGCTTAGGATTTCCTTATTTATTTTATTGATATACCATTTTGAGCACATTTTATTACATTGACACACCACTGATGCCATTTTGTAGGCCCCATTTGTTGATAGGTCGCCGCCCGTTTGAGCTACGATAATTTACTGTCTACCTTTATAGCCTGGTATGACTTTGAAGCTTTAGAATGATCCAACTTGAGATGAGTATTTTAATCCTTGATAGTCCTCATTCACTACTTACCACAAAATATAAGCAAGAATCCATTAATCAAGAGTACTTTTGGGTATCACTCAAACTATAATTAACGAAAGGGATATGTTCCTTGGGGAGTTGCATGAGCAACCCAAGAACAAGAATATAAATTTTGATTATCTGGTTATATGTGGATAATTTCTATAGGATCATCTTTGTGATATGCTTTTAAAGTGTTTTGACCTTACTCTTTTTGAGCATACACGTTGGATCTACCATACGAAGGTTATTTTATAAACATTATCTCAGTTCTTTCTTTAATTTGTTTGCCTAGTTTTATTATAATTTTTGCCTTTTTTATTCTTCCTCTTCTCTGAATCATTTTGATGTTCCAAGAAAGAGGGTGACTTGGAAAGGAGAAATATAAAATAAAAATCAGATAAGCTGATGACTCCAAATTACAAAGAACCAAAACACCCATATTCTACTGAGCTCTAAAATAAATGTTGATTCCTACTTTGCTAGACCATTTCTTAAATAAATTGGGCTTGGCCATGATATTAGATTTATATTGCATTTCTTAAAGACAGTTGATTCCTATTTTGTTAGACTATCTCTTAAATAAAATTTCCTTTCATAAAATTTTTCACTAAAAAATCTAAATCATTCTCTTGAAAAAAAAAAGCCATTTTTTTTTTCACTAAAAAATCTAAATCATTCTCTTGAAAAGAAAAAAAAAGCCATTTTCAATTATTAAATTCAATACAAGCCAACACATCACTAACAATGAGAGTATATAGAAATATTTTATTATCTTCAACTAAGCTAATCATCTTAGTAAAAATAATATTATATTTATCAAAGTTGAGGAGGCTACAAGTTATAAAAAATATAAATTGGGCTTTCAAACACCATCTTTCATTGTACACTTTAGGAATGCTCGTCTTAGTTTAGATTATTGAATTTGTTTTGTTTCCACACAAAAAGTTACCTAATACCATCTCCTCGAGTGAGTATTATTCAAACTTTAACCTAGTGATTGAAGAACATACAATAATGCTAATTTTAAACTTATGCCTCAATGTTAAACATAATAGAGTAGCCCTCATTCCCATTAACCATCCATAATAAAATTCATAGAATGAAACACCAAGAGAATTATAATTCAGAATATTTAAAGAATAAAATTAAAGCAAGTCTCTCAACCATGATAATGAATTCAACATACTCAAACTTTCTAATCACCTTCACCATCAATCAAACTCTAAATCTGGGATGAGCACTAATAATGCCACTTAAAATATATGATTAAAATGCAAATATTTACAGAAGTAAAATGAGTCATTTTTAAAAGATATAACATAGGGAAAAAATCATCTTCAAATAATAATTAACTTATCTTTAAATCACCATCAAAATCTAACAAATTGTCTTTTAACCATGATCAAATCACCTTCAAATCATGATATAATCATTTTCAAACAAATTTTGAATCATCATTAAACTATGATTAGCTATTTTTTAGTTATAATAAAATCACATTTAAATGATCTGCAACATAACTTTAAAAATCATTGAATCATAATTTGAAAAAGAAAATAATTTGATTATGATTTAAAGAAGTTTTGATGTTTGTTTAAAGACTGTTCAATGATGATACAATCATGATTTGAGGATGGTTCAAAGATGGCTCGATGATGGTTTGGTCATGGTTTTATGGCTTGAAGATAGTGCGACCATAGTGTAATCATGGCTTGAAGATAGTGCAATCATATTGTAATCATGGCTTGAAGAAGGTTCCACCATGATTCAATCACATTTTCATGTTAATTCAAAAACGATTCTAACAATTAAATATTGGTATTGTCATTTATAATGACACTATGGATTTTGGGTTTACAATGTGAAGAACATATTCAAATCTAAAAAACAAAAATGATTACATCTTTTTGAGTAGTTGATAGAGAGATCAACATCACCATCATAAACTAAGTTGCAAATCAAACAAACTTTTTCATGATATAGTGGCGTTGGAAAGTGAAGAGGTTGCGGATCTCCAATGATTGAAAGGTTGCATAGCTATTTTCTAGTTCCAACTCCTACTTGTAATAAATAGGAGTAATTTGGCTTAAAATGAACTTTCGGGCAGATTTCTCTACCAAAATAAAGAACATATTTAACAAAATTCTGGTGTTATCCAACGTATAAAGTTGATATTATTCTTTCCAATTAGAGGAGAATGTCAAATACACCGCAAAATATAACATGTCACGAGGATCAGGTTGTGAATGTCAACACGTCTCTAACTCTATTGCCGAACTACATACATAGAAGAAAGGCATGAACAAAAAAAGTAGAGCACCAGCTGCTGCAACTAGCAAGAAGAGGTTGAAAGTCGACGGACATAATACTGTTTAATCCTTCTTTTTCTCGCTTCAACCGATCCAGGAGAATATTTAAGGTAGTATTGTAGTTTTGTTTTTTCTTCGTTTTTAGTTAAAAACTTGAAGCTTCAGGAAAAATAACATATTTGCAAGTATTTCCACATCATAAGGGTTTGAATAATTAATTCGCTTTGTTAAAAGTCCGCACGGCTCCTTGCACACATCATTTGCAAGCTTCACCAAAGAACATCGCTTTAAGCATGTCATTTTCTAGTCGCATTCAGCAAATTCAAAATTTTGAATATCTTCCTTGCCTAATATCTAAAGTAACGATTAAGACATGCAAAAATTTCAGGAGCGCTCCCCAAGACAAATTCCTTTCATCTTTGGGTTATGCGTGAATGACTTTGGCTCAGATTCAATTGACTGAAAACCTTCAACTTTTCTATCATCTAGAATCCAACGGCAGAAGTTTTAAAATGAAAATAAAAAATCGTACCAGTAAGCAAAATCCCAAAGGTTTTTTATGATGATTTAACTTAGACATCAGTCATGAATAAAAAAATGAGAGCATAATTTATAGTTCCTAAGGATTCTTTTCACATCACTTCTACATTCTGTTTTTATTTTTATTTTTAAAAACAAGTTTGATTTAAACAATTTTTCATGTTTTATTTCTCATGTTTAAAAACAAATCTAACTTATTTTTAAATAAACACTTCTACATTCTGTTTTTATTTTTATTTTTAAAAAACAGGTTTGATTTAAATAAATTTTCATGTTTTATTTCTTATTTTTAGAAACAAATCAAACTTATTTTTAAATAAACTCAAAACACCTAAATAATATTTGAGTATTTTTTAAATTATCTAAATCAAATATGTTTAAATTCAAATCAAAATATAAAAAACAAAATAAAGATAAGAAATGAAAAACTAAAAACAAAGTGATCCCAAACAGCCCCTAACTATATTATTATAAATTTTATGTTTTTCTGAGAATAAATCCATTGAACAAACTAGGGTAAAGTTAAAGAGTTCTTGAGAATTTTTACTGAAATTGAACAACAAATTTTATGGTAAACTGGAAATAATACATTTAATGAAAAGTACCAAAAAGTTCATTGAATGAGAAGAAATAATCAAAGTATGCCATTAATTTTAGTTTATATGTAACGTTTAGGTTTTGAGAGAAGAAGGAATGATGTTGATTTTCATTTTGGCATTTCCAAATGTTATCTTAAAACAATTATGAGAAAAATTGAACTTTCCAATCGATTGGATCAAAACTATATATATATAAAACCATTTTTCATAACTAGAGTACTTAACATTTACTCAAGAACCACCTTCCATTTTAACTTCACTAGAAGTTACTATTATGCAAAATAACTTGCATTAAAAAAACATGTGATACAATAAGGATAAAATTTGTTCAGAAGGTTATCAAAAGAAAATAAGCATTTGATGATGAAGAGCATCTGCAATTAAATTTAAACCAATAATTTAGGTAGAATAGGGGATGTGAATGAAGAAGAAAACTTCTGGACAATTTGAAAGAATTCTCAAACAAGTACAAGTTCTAGAATTTAGCAGCACTATGTCTGTATTTTGAGTATTTCACCATTTTATTTTGGCTGATTAAGGCTGGACAACAAAATAAAAAAGATTAAATACCTATTGCCATTTTTACGAGAAAGAGTTCTCTAAAAACATGCAGACTTAACTATCAAATTATTGACTTTCCTCATATACTAAACTAAACGATCTCAGGGGCTCAAAACTGGTGAATTAGATTGTAAATTTAAAAATATTGCCCACCCAAAGATCAATACGAGAAACATTCTCTTTAAGAAACACAACATGGAAAACTTCAGAAAGAAGAAAATCAATTGATTTGCAATTGAAGCGAAAGACAAATTCTTATATTTCAATTCAATTAAGAATCTATTTACAACTTTTCAGAGAAGCATTAATCTACAAACTAGTTAATCAACTATGTTAGGAGAATTTTAAAATTATGAAAGAGATTTCTCTCCAGCCAAACTCAATCAAATAGAGATGGATGGCTTTGGTGCAGTTTGTATTCCACTCTCCTTATATCTACAGATCGCACTTCGGATTTTTACCTCAGAACAAGTAATCATAATAGACCAAGAAAAGTGTGTCTGGAATGTTGAGAGGCAAACTATCAATATAGCAAAAGAAATGCCTTACATTCTCCTTTTCTATAGTCTCTGTATCCACCACATCACAATTGCTTGTTAGCACCCATAGGTCTCTAGAACGAACTCTTTTAAGGCTTGCCCTGCAAAAGGGGCAGGACTGTGACCTTGTGTTCCTGTCATCAAAAGCCATAACAATCTTAGCAGAGTAAATAATTCGAAGTTATACAAGATTTAATTCAGAAAGCTAGACAAATCATAGAAAAAGTTTAGTCAGAAACAAGAAAAAAATCCCTTTTTTATGCTTGACTATTTACCAGTCATGGTAACAATTTATACACATTGCATGATTGCAGCTAGGAAGAACCATCTTGGTGCAGATTTCCAGGCAAATACCACACTCATCATCTCTCTCCAAATCCTTATCCGAAAGCTTCTTCCGCCACTCTTCTGCTCGTTTTCTTCCAACAATATCTTTGCTTCTAACTCTGTCAAAGGTCTCTTTTTTCTCCAACAGGTTGCTTTCTAATTGTTGAAGAGAAGGATAAATGATACCTAAGATATATTTACAATTATGTACTTGTCATTAAAAACCAAGAAGCGGGCAGTTGGATCACCAGAAAATCACATTGAAAGCAAAAGGGATATATAACTTAATATTTACCATAGAATTCTCTAATACTGGCTCTCCTCTCGTGTGCAGATATCGACGATTTTCCGTCAACATACACCTGCATAATTTTAGCCCCATTGTTCAATTCTACCAAACTCAGTACACAACTGAATTCAGCATAAGCACAACAATCAAATAAGAGCAGAAAAGTAAAATCTCAAGTATTAAGTCATTTTTCTTAAAATTTGGAAAATGATTGAAAAACGCAAAAGATAAATAAGAAAATAAATCAGAAGTACAACCTTGTACACAAGTATTTGAAGAAGCCCTAGATTACTGGAAAGCACATAAGTCGGGACACAGTGCATCCACTGCAGAAGAAAGACGAAAATCGGAGCCAGAGGACCATAAGACAGTTTCATCTGCAGGCAAGCACCACCATATGCTCTCTGCACAGCATGAGCCCTGCAAAATCCATATCCCTAGCGGTCAAAACCAGCACAAATCCCAAAGAAAAACTACTAGCGAGAGCATGCTTTGAAGTGAGAATAAACGCAAATGAAATAAAAAAAAAATTCTATTTCCTTTTTTTCTTATCATTTCTATCCATCTCGATTATGGAAGTCAGAAAACAGAAGAAAATCGAAGCAGTGGACAAAATCAAAGATGAGATAGAGGACTTACAAGGAGTTGGCATGCTGGATGTCAGCCTCCAGGGCCTTGAGCGATCCTTTGAAAGATGAAGGCCTGGAAAACTGATTCTGAAACATCTGAAACTTCTATAACTTCGTCAGGTTCTTAGAAAAGAAGAAAAGGATATGATAGCACCCTAAGCCTTACGCATAACAGGAGGGATCCCTCAGCTTCGAATGAATAGTCCAATTTATAGAATCACTGGCAAAGAGGATTGGGAACAAGAGCATTCATCTTAAAGCGCTAACCCGGCCAAGAACGGGAAGGTAAGAAAAAAATTTCCCCAAAATGTAAACACAGAAGTGCGCCACAGCCAGAACGCTTTTGCGTGGGATTGAGAGTTGGGCGGCTGGATTGGCGTCTTATGGATTTGAGATAGAAAGAGACCCCATGTAATAACTTCAATTTTGAAAGTATCCGAAATTTTTGGTTCACGTCAATCATCTGAGATTTGAGTTCAGGATAAAAATTTAAAATTCATTAAAAAAAAGCGAAATTTTTATTGGAAATATATATTAGTAAAAATTTAAAATTCTTGAAAAATAGGCAAAATTTTTATATTATTACCACACCCAGCAATGCATTTAATTGGAACTATTAATTATTTTATTCGAGGAATGGTCCTTAAAATTTATTATCCCCGGCTATTTATGAGAATCAATGCCGTCAAAATTGATTTGAATTCAAATTTTAGTTTACATCTCATTTAAACTTTGGGATACTAACATACAGGGAACAAAGTATTGTTGTCTACAAAATCTAGCTTTCATATTATTTTGAACTACAAAATTAATATATTTATACGTGCCACCATAAAAATAATAAGAAATTGATAAAAATGAAAAAGAAGGGTTACGGGGAACAAAGTATTGTTGTCTACAAAATCTAGCTTTCCTATTATTTTGAACTACAAAATCAATGTATTTATACGTGTCACGATAAAAATAATAAAAAAATTCATAAAAATGGAAAAAAAGGGTTACGATTTTATCTTGAGTTTTGATATTTCAGTGAGAATTTTATAAATGGATCAGACGGTGCTAGATTTATAAACTAACAATGTTTCGGGTGCTATCTAATGTAATTGCCCTTTTGGAGCATAGTTTGAATATTACTAAAATTTTATTTAACTTTGTTCTAACTTTTATATTTTCTCTAATTGAATGTCATGTCTTTTGAACACTTCTTCAAATATTGCAGATCCACGATGCCTCCTTAACAAGCTCCACCACACTCCTACAACAGACTCCTTTTCATCTTTCTTGAAGGTTATAGATTTGAAAGCTATACTTTTCTAGTTCTCGATGATAAAAGTCATGCAAACATATACTCTTTTTTAGACATTATGGGTTCAATGATGCCTTCTCCAATTATCTTTCTTGGTAGTTGCCACTCCCTCAAATTCCTCTTGGTATTTATTGGTCATGTGAATTTTTTTTTCTTTTTCACAGCCCATTAGTTGGGTGATACACTCTCCTGTGAGTTTCATTTCATGATTCTAGTCTCACAACCCCTTTCCATCAAGTTCTATCTATAAGTTACTCCTCTCAAAGTTGTAGTTGGCATAGTGGTGCCACCCTTGCAAGCTTTGTTCCTCCCAACGATGCTAGGAGGGAAGAAAAATTCAGAATGTTCGAACCATGAGGTTGGAAGTAATTTTGAATTCAAATTAGTTCAAGCCACTTTCCAATGGCTTAGAATTCATGAGTAGTCCATCCATAGACTAAATATTATATTATTAGAGATCATTTCTTTCGAACTAAATTATTTTGGTATAGTTAGTAAATAAAATATAAAATATGAACATTTGCTGATTTAAGTGTATTAATAATGTGCATAAAGTTACAAAATTTTCATTGAGCACTTAAATGCTCAAA